TTTTTTTTTTTTGACATGCGACCTAGGAAGGGGCATAAAGCTCAATTGTGCGTGTTTCTCCTTTCATAAATATTCATGACCCCTCCTATAGCTTGTTAAATATGTATAACTGTCCCTCTCTCAAAGTGCTTTCGGCTTCTGCTCAAGGCTATGCTTCCCAGCCTGTCAGAATGGCCACCCTACAGACTGTAACCCTTTAGGAGAAATAAAGCTCTCCCTTCCAAATTGATGAACCTCATCATTTCTTCAGTTGACACTACCAATAAGCTATCATTTTCTTACACTTATTCATACATAGATACTTAACAGTAAAAAATATGACATACCATTAATACAGTGAACAGTAACGTGTGCAGGGTAACCAAGGCACAGAGCAGCATCAGCGGAATACCCCCATCGGCGCAGGCTCTCAGCCTCCACCTGCGTTTTGGCTGTGACCCATCACATGAGGACAGGTGTGGACTTTTCCTCTAGTGGTATCACATGGGCACTTGCATTTTCAGATTTTGGAGGATTTCAGGCATGCTCAACCCGTAACCTACAGAACTCTACCCACCCCATAGACTCCACTGGCTTTTCATTCCTCTAAATTGCTTTACTCTCACCGGCTACACCAGGGCCTTTGCACATGCTGTTCCCCTTCCTTGGAGCTTTTTCTTCTCTTCTCGTATTTCCTTTCCTGGCTTTCTTTCTTTCTGACTGATTTTACTTTCAATGTCATTTTTTTTTTTTCTGAAAAACTGTTCAGATTTCCTAGATTTGATAATTTACCTTCACAGAGGACAAGAAATTTGCCCCTTATATCCTGAAATTCCCTAATCAAAGTACCTATCACACTTGATGATTATCGCTTGTCTCACTTTATAGTCGGAAAGTGAGAAAGTTCCAAAAGGGTAGAAATTGTGCATGTCTTGCTCACAGTTATCTCCCTAGTCCTGAGTTTGGCTCAAAATAGCAAGAAATAATTTTTTAAATTACTTGTTAACAGAAAATCCTCATGTCCTGTCTTCAAGATAGTCAGTCCATCATACCTCACTTCGAGACCTAGGTATTTGATTTTTCTTTAGAACCTTTCTAGAGAAGGATAAATGTGAACTGAATGTAATTCAAATTTTTTTTTTCTTGAGACAGCGGCTCACTTTGTCCACCTCAGTGGAGTGCCATGGCCTCACAGCTCACAACCACCTCAAACTCTTGGGCTTAAATGATTCTCTTGCCTCAGCCTTCCAAGTTAGCTGGGACTACAGGCGCCGACCACAATGCCCGGCTATTTTTAGAGATGCCGTCTCACTCTTGCTCAGGGTGGTCTCTTAACCCATGAGTTCAGTAGATCCGCCCACCTCGGCCTCCCAGAGTGCTAGGATTACAGGTGCGAGCCACCGTTCCCAGCCTAGTAATTCGAATTTTTAAAAATTCTCTTAACATTTTTTAGATTTTACTGCAATAAAAATAAAAATGTAAATGAAGTATGAATATTCATACCACAAGCTCCACCCCTGCTATCCCAATTCCACAGGGTTTAAAGCGTTCATTTTATTTCTTACATGCAGAAGAAAAAAGAAAAAGTACGATTATACTACTCGCATCCTCAAATGACACTCTGGCTTTGCAGTCACCCCAGGATCCAGTTGAAAAATGGACTTCCTTGTTTTTTGTGGCCTTCTGTGGCTCCCTTCCAGTTTGTATCACAGACTTTGTTTTTCTCTGTTTCTTTTTCTGCTTCCTCTTCTCAGCTAAGCACAGCTTCCTCTGTCATGTTCTATAAACCTGCCACTGTTGATGAGTCTGTCTCTGTGTCTTCTGAATCGGTCGGCTGTCTCATGAGCTCTTAGGTTCCATCTCAAATTTTAGTGGCAAATTTTTCTCTACCTGCTACTCTTTCTCCCCTTGTAATTAATTTCTTAATTTAGTTACTGAGTTAACTCTTCAGATGCAGGGCAGAACTGAATGCCCTCACTTTGCCATCATCAAAGTTGGTTGCTTTTGTTCACTGCTGGATCACCAGTGTCAAGAACAGTACCTAGCACTTGGTAAATAGGACAAATTCGTTGAATACTGTAGCATGTACTCCATGACAGGCTGCTTACCTCAGTTTATTTACTTTGTTGTTCATATGGTGCAAGTAAATATTTGCAACTTCCCTGAGTATCCAGAAGTTAGTTAACACTTCGTAAATTTTTTTTTCAATACATACCTTGTGACCCAGTCCAATTAGAGCCATTCTTCCTTAGGTTTTTTTTTTTTTTACCAATTGGTTAATGTTGCTCAGAAATGTAAGAACGATAATTCCTTTAGTTACTTTAATTCACAAATTAAGAGACTGACTTCCTTTGGAGGTGACCCCTAGTCTTTAGTCATAATCTAGCCTTTAATTGGAAGAACAAATTCAGTAACTTCACTTAAATGTAAACAAATGTGACAAATTCATCCTGTAAATCAAATTGCTGGTGTTTATAAATTATGTGGCAAATTATTAGGTGGTTAAGATGCCAGCAGAGAGTGCAGACAAAATGTCAGGGTTCAGCCACAAGTTCAACATTTGGGGTGCGTGGAGATCTTTGTGAGTGCTGGGTTGGCAACAGGAGGTGTGTGATGGGGTAAGAAACGTTAACTGGTGGAGGTCAGGTTCAGGATGAAGACATTAGGAGGTGAACTAAGCCTAAAACAGCAAGTAAGTAGTGAGAGAAGGAAAAGGAGTTAGAATCTTGGCGATGGCGGGGAGAGAAGCCAGAAGCCTGAATTGAACAGGAAACTAGCAAAGGGCAGTACTTAGCTGGTGGAGTCCCGGGACCTAAGGATATGGGCCCCAGAAGGCCAAGGCTAATGGTGGAAAGAGATAGCAAAGAAACTAGGCCTTCAAAGGGCAAGAGGGACGCTCAAAGGTAGAAGGAACCGGGAAGGGTGCTCCCCGAAGGACAAAGAGCCACAGCTGGGTAAGAAATGTGGGTAGACAGTGTCTAGGACGTTTGAATGAGCCTGTGGCTGAAGGAGGTAACGCAAGTCTCCGTTTTCTGGAGGTTTCCACGCCCTAGGATTTAGCTTTGGGGGTGGAAAAATGTATTTTATATTCCCATAAGAGGATTTCGGGCTAAGAGTTCGGTCAGGTTTGGTGGGGCAGGTGGTCGATCAATGTCGCAGGGAAAACTCAAGGCTGGGCATTAATTTCAACCGGTTTAGGGTGACTTCAGCCAGGGCCGGAGGGCCTTGTGTCGAGGTGAAGTTCAGCTCGGGGGTCCGCGTGTTCGATCTGGGCAGGAATCTGAGGGCGGTGAGGCGTCTTCTGGCAGCGCTGCGGGTGAATCTGCGTCGGACCAGGGGGAATCTCCTTCCTTCAAGACCGCGGTGCAAGTCAGGCGGGGCTGGAGGCGGCCGGCAGCCGCGGCGGGG